GCACTGAAGCTGAGCTTCTTCTCCTCCGTTGCCAGCTTCACAGTCTTCCTGGGCTGGTCTTTGTGGGGACTCTTCCTCAGACCGACTGCGTTTTTTCGCCTTCGGAACTGGGGGAGGCTTGGGCAGAGGAATTTCGTCCCAAGGCTTCTGGCAGAGAGAGAGAGGGCCTCTTCGGCTCCAATCTCAGCTGCTATCAGCCTTCGGTACCTTTTCCTCGCAGCCCCACTAAGCTTATAAGGCCTAGCGAACTTTTTCTTTTCCCCTCCCTGGTTCGTTTCCGATTGTGGTTCGGCTGCAAACGTGCCCTCCACTTCACGGCTCGTCCCAGGTTGGGGCGCACTGTTGCAGGGTGTTGGTGAGGCTAAAAGAGCCTTTTCCAAACCTGCAGATAGTTCCATTAAATGAGATTTAATATCTTTTTCAAAATGTCGGTTTTCATCCATTTTGTTCCCACGAGTAGCTAGGGAAATACTTGGTCACCCCCGGCAGAGCCCCGCATGCTGAGGGAAGGGCTAAAATACTACCCGAATCGCCCTGGTCTCGGGTAGGCACCGTTTGCGACTGGACTCCCTCCAGCCACGCATCCATCGGCACGGTACGCTTGACACCTTGGATTGGGTTGAGATAGGAAAAGGGGGAGGGATAAAAGAAAAGAAAAAGAGGATCGTCCGAATGTTTATGTTCTGTCTGTTTCCTATTGAACCAGACCAAATAACAGGCGGCAACCACGTGAAGGAGAACTCCTCAGACTTGCCCTGGGGATCAACACGACCTGCGCTCTCCCCCAGAGCCATACGCCAAACTGCTCGCCGGACAGGAGAGCAGAATAGGTGTTAATCTAGTCCTATTTATAAAATCAAAAAGTTAGGAGTAGACTAACCCCCGCCCATAACATATCTTTTCCTTTTAATGAAAATAATTCCCATTTTCAGCTGGTTCTACATTATCTCATATCATTAAGTCCTCTACAATTTCAGATATTACTTCCTTGGCCACATCGCAACATAAACCGTTTTTATTTTCGCTTGAGTCTGTCAACCAAATTCGTAAAACTTTTGTATCTATTAAATCAAAAGCAGTGAGCTGCGATAATGTGAGTCGCTTCATGATCTCTTCCATTCTCGAAAACTTTCACCCAGTCTTAACTCACATAGTCAAATTTTTTCTGTTGTCTAGGGTCTTTTGTTGCTTCTTGGCGTAAAGCTTATATCATTCCTTTTCCTAAAATTGCAAACCCCACTCAACTAAAAAACTACAGACCTACATCTATCTTACTCATTTTAGCAAAACTTCACCTCCACCAACAAATAAAGGCAGACAATTGTCTGCCTTTATTTGTAGAAATTACTTGCTATCTCCGTCTCAATCTGGCTTTAGGCCTGAACACAGCACAACCACTGCAATTCTCAAAGTCGCAGATGTTATTCCAGAGGATATGGAGAATAGAAAGGTATATACATAGTACTTGTATTAATCGATTTCACAAATGCGTTTAACATGGTTGACCATGATATCCTCCTTAATTTACTTCAAAAACTTAAATTTTTCTCTACTGCTGTAAACTGGTTTTCATCCTACCTTCGTAGCCATCAGCAAGAGAAAAATATTAGTCAATTTTTACCATCCATCAAATGGAATATTCCTCTACAAGGTGCCGGAGTGTACAAGCTAAATTATGAATGTGACCACTGTGACTTAGGTCAAACAAAAAGATCTCCGAAAAACTGCGGGCAAAACATATAGCTGATAAGAAGCACCGACGCTCCGGGAAGTCTGCAGTCTGTGAACATGTTCAACATCATCCCCACCATTACATCCGATTTGATAAACCACAAATCCTCACAAAAGAACACCGATTCAAGGATGACACGCGATGCTATTGAAATTAAAAAACATCCTAATTTCAATAGAGAAGAAGGATGTGTGCTGGCATCTGCTTGGGATCCTATAATTCGCAAAATTAAACCGTAACCCAAGCATACCACTGCAAGACTTCAAGATGCTGTAAGCTCGTTTTACGTAGATCAGAACAAAAATTAATATTCACAAGCAGAAGGTAGCCAGGCTGACAATGGGTGCTGTAAAGTACCCGAAACGTCGGGAATATAATATAAAATAAGTTAAAATAGTTAATTAGAAAACGGCAATTGCTTAGATAAATACCTAATATATATATATATATATCTATATATATAGGTATATATATATATATATATATATATATATATATATATATATATATATATATATATAAATATTATAACGGTTAAAAATAAAACGATTGCGATAGCCAGCCATGTCGCCATGATCGCCTGTCCAGCGTGCCATCTATGGCAAAAAAATTCCCCTATTGGGCAATTTATGGGACGCCTAAGTTGAGCAGTGGGATTTAATTATCCTATAGTGTATATTAGTACTTTAAAATATTAATAGTTTTTTAGTATATGTATTGGTTTAGGTTTTATAGTACGTATATTAATATTGCTCCAACTATGCTACATTTTACGTGGTAGAGCCAAACTGCAGCTTATATATTGTTGCGTGACTAAGTCAACGTCTTACACTAGCGCCATCTAGTGTCAGGAACGAGAGCGAGCTTTGCAGAAAATGACATCACAAATCTTTCAACTGACAGCGCCATCCGAAGAACTAACTTTCTAGAAAATCTACACTCGAACACTCGTCGCTTTGCGCGCGTTTACTTGAATATTCCGGATGCTTCATTGCTAATTTGTATATATAGGCGCTGCAAGATGCGATCGGGGAAGTATTGGAGTTGGCGACACAAGCGAAGCTTCGGAGCGGAATTAAGTGAATTAGTGTGTTTAATTATTAGTGTTTTAAGTTTTAATTTGTGTAAAGTAAATTAAAGTGTTAATTTAGGTAATTTTATCGGCAATTTTTATTGTCACGAACCTCAAGCTCGTAACAATATTATGACTGTAGCACGAATGGGTCCGCTCCACCGGGGCAAGACCACGCTCTTAAATATCAGCTTTATGTTATTGTGTTTCTTATGGTGATAGAGAACCGGATACCCTTTTTACTGGAATCGAGGAATTACAATTTAGTATTTTGATTCTTAATCGAGAATGGAGGCAGTTAATGTAGATGTCTATGAGCCACAGCATCTACATCACAGTATCCTGCCATCAGGTGGACTATATGCTCGTTAGTCACCATTATTCTATATAAAAAAAACTGTATATGTATCTGTTTTTCTTACCTTTAGCTTTACCTATTTCTTTGCGCTTTTGGTTGACTGGAATAGACCGCTTTGCAGCGATAAAACAGCCAAATTCTATCTTCTGTCTAATCTTTTAAGGTTTTCTGTAGTTTTGTTTTGTGGTGATATTTATTCATTTAATTATTATCTAATAAGTAGCGATGAAATTGCAAATTATTTTTGCAAAGACTTATTGCAGGTACAAAGCTTATCGGTATAAGTTGTTTTAATTACCAAGTAAATTGCACGAAAATATGTGTTTGTTATGAGATTACATTATGATGTATACTATACATTTACATTTTTGCATTGTAAAGATTAGGACTGATTGCAGACATGAAATAAGCATAAGAATCTGATTGTTTTAACGCATTGCAAAACTAATCAATTATTTGATAAATATTTCTGCAACATCATCAAATAATATGTGTTTCGCCAAATTCTACGAAATTAAATTCAGACCCTCTTTAAATTTATATTTGGTTATTTTTATTGCTAAAAGTCTGACTTTCCCGGGGAAAAAAAAAAAATTTTAGTGTTTAAAAAGTATGAGGAATTATTTCTTACTAAGTACTAAACGTCATTCATTAGAATATTTGAGTGAAGTTTTGAGGTCAGTCTAATAAACCGCGTAGTGGCGGGGTAATAATATAAACTACACTATATTTTCATCTCGTGGGTGTCGTAAGAGGCAACAAAGGCATGTAAATCAGATGGGCAGCAGTGTCATCCTAATAACGACTAAAAATAGAAACGCTGCGGTCGCCAACCCGCTTGCCTAAAGTGGCAACTATGGCAAATATCCCTCTTTGAGGCAATCTGTCGGGGAGGCCCATGTTCAGCAGCGGATCTTAATAGGCTGTATGGCTGGCATTCTAATATTATTTTAAAAATTCCAATATTACACGAAGTACATGTAAGAAAAACCATAAACTACTGAAAAGACCCCTTTCACTGGAAGTTGGGCGTCTTGATTTTCTTAATCGAGGCCCAGATGAGGTACAGAGACATAGATCGAGAAAAGTAGAGATGGAGATGTAGATCTTTGTTCCTGGGCTGTTGCTTAATATGTCACTCTGATATCTATTCTTAATATATTAGCGGAAGTCATTCATCCATCCATTCAATATAGTCTATAAAATTCCACTGTTGAGGAATTTTATATAAAAAAAAAAAAAAAAAATATATATATATATATATATCTTAATATATATAAATTACGTGTCACGTTGTTTGTCTGCGATGGATTCATAAACTACTGAAGTGATTTTAATCAAATTTGCACACCGTGTGCAGTTTGGTCCAACTTGAGAGATAGGATAGTTTTTTTTTGCCCATGAGTGACCCACAATTTTTTTTTTGCGAATTTAAAAATTTTTAATAGGGAAAGGGATATAACAAAGGGTCGTCGAAAAGGACAGAACAACGTCTGCCTGGCAAGCTAGAAAAAAAAATATATATATATGCATATATATTTAAATATATAACACATAGGCTTCCCCATAGTGGCGGTATAAGAATATCCAGTACACCATATCGTCCCGTATATATCGTAAGAGGCGACAGAGCTGAATTGAAACAGGTGATGGGCAGCAGCATCATGCTAATAACGTATTAAAATAATTAAAAAAAGTAAGCGACTCGTCTGTAAAGCACGGCAATTAAGGTAAAACCTACCTATGAGACAATCCTTAGGGGGGACTTAATAAATGAAGGAAATTAATGAAAATCAAATAACGCCGAAAATTATCAAGAATTCCCTTTACTGTTTTAGAATTTATGCCGACGTTGTCGTCAACCATATGACAGGTGATCATAACGGCAACAGGGGAACTGGTGGCAGTACAGCTGACTTCGTAAATTATTTTTATCCAGCGGTGCCTTACACTCGGGAACATTTTCACTATCCGTTCTGCGCTATTGAGAACTATAACAATGCTACACAGGTTTGCTAATGTTGATGGTTTTATAAGTTTGATGTTTATTTAAGTAACAGCCTGTTGGTATCGTTGTGGGTTCGAATTCCTCATTAGACTACCGTGCGTAAACCACTCTTAAAAACAATTTTTATGCTTACTTAGAGTAGTTGACGAGAGTACTAGTAATTTATTTTATTTATTCTTAATTGTTCCCCCTTATAACTAAGGTAACAATGGGCAGACTTAATGCCTCTGTGCGTTCTCTGCCAGTTAACTCGTAGTGGGGTGAGCTATTATGGCAGGTGTAAACTTGCTTAATGATCTTTGGAAAAAAAATATAGGTACTAAAGTATCTCGATTCAAACTATGTAAATATATATATACAAATACATATAACAACCTTACACATACATACATATAATATATATAAAAATATATATACATATACCTAACATACATATACATATATACCACAATTATACAACTCACATAACAAGAAAACATTCTTGTCATGAAACTATATCTTGTTTCAAGAGGTGTTCACGAAGTAATGTAAATAGCGTTACTGGTATACATTAAAAAAATTTAGTTATTAAATTGATCATCATTTCAGCCCATTTGAATTCCATTGCTGAACCTAAGACCAATATACCAAATATCAAGAAACACCATAAAGCACGATACTGAGACGCGCAACCCCACTCTAGATTGTCGCCTTACACTTCGTTATTTAAGACCTTGCTTTATTTCAGCGACATTATCATCACAGTATTTCACAAGTCCACTACAGAAAATTTATTTATTTATTGGTTATATAATATATATTTCTGCCACAAAGCACCAATGCACCCGCTGGTGTATTCCGGTTGGAATGAAACGAGTATAGTACCATTATAGTCTGTATCTCTAGCCTTCTTTGCATTGTGCTTGTTTTAGTTATCTTACCATCCTTTAAGCTATTACCTCGTTAGTCACTTCATTGGTTGAAAGTGTGAAACGCAGTACTGGCGGTCACCGAACGAAGTGAAATAAATTTTGTGAGATATATGCCTTCCTTAAAAGCCTTTAAAATGCAAGCGTGCCTCTTCACCACAAAAAGAAAGCCCGTTCACTCTGGCTGCCACAAAGAAAACAGAACAAAATGTGAACGATATAGTTATGAAACTATAAATAACTTGGCAAAGTTTAAATACGTCAGCAATCGACATCCTGAACAAGGTCAAAAGCATTGGGGGCGATACTAAACTCGAGGCACAATAAACGGTTTAAACAAAAACGTCTACTATTCCGGTAGTTTCTGATTAATTTATATTAAGGCAAATGTTCTAAAACAATGTTCGTTAGTTCTTTATACTGAAGATTTCTATTTGAATGTAAAACGATTATTTTTGTAGTAGAAAATTATTATACAGCTATAAAATCGATTACATATTCAACATCATTTCAACAAGTAATTATAAAAAACAATTTACGTAAACAGCGTAAAATTTTTTAACATTCAATCGCCTACAACGCGCTAGCCCCGACTGCATATGTTATCATGGGTGCGTCGCGATTGTAGATAATTATTTCACACAGGTAGCAGGTAGAGTGACAGAGGGCTGTTAACGGGCTAAACCGACTTAAATTATTATTATTTATTAAATAGGCTACCTAATATACAAGGGTCACCCCATTTAAATTTGGGAAAAATAACACACCTAAGGGTGGGAACAAAAAACATTAATTACGACTTATGTGAGGTGAAATGTCTCAGATTGTAATTGGGCAATATAGGTATTGTAAGTATTATATAGATCTACTGCTGAACTTAGGCTCCCCAAATAGATTGCCTCATGTTTGCCATAGCTGCCACGCTTGTTGGCCTCCGCAGTTTTTCATCACTGAGTTGTTATCAAGAAAATGCTGCTTCCCATCACCTCTTTCATTTTAAATCATCATGAAGGAATCTGTGGAGGAGACCTATGTCCATCTGTCGACTGCAGGCTGAACTAGATGGAATTCTCATAATATAATAGTAATCACTATAAACTCGTACACTTTTCTTAAGTTAGTTATGAAAATAAGACTTCCCACCAATGAGAACTGCAAATAGAATACTTCGATACCTGTAAAAAGGATCTTCGATTCTCTACATTTAGTGTACGCAACACAGCAGCATTATTATGCTCGTATATGCTAACTAACTAACACTAATACATAAATTAAAAAAAATTAAATCGAAGTGGTAAGTATTTGTTTACTTAACAGGTGCGCAACTGTCAACTTATGGGCCTTAAAGATTTGAATCAAACTTTGAAGTACGTGCGACAGCGTATAATACGCTACGCCAATAAACTCATTATACTTGAAATAGCGGGAATAAGGTACCGAGGCATGTTCTGTCGTTCACAGTTATGAAGTTATATTAATTTGGGAAACTGTTCCTGAACTATGAAATTCGTTTTATAATATACCACCAAGTTAAAATTATTAAATAATTTTCAATATATCATGTAGACCTAATAAATAACAAACATGTTTAGGTTTCTTATTAATTTAAAGTGATGTTTACTCGCATCTTATATAGTTCAGGGTTGACCATGTGTAAGTAGGTTTCTACGAATGCTAGGATTTGCCAACACGGTAACAAAGGTCTCGCATCTCTTGCACTACTCTGTTACCGATTTGGTTACCTACAAGTATTTACAATTTAGCCGTAATCAATCAAATGGGCCAGTGGTTAGAAGTAGATCCTATGTAATGTTACTTGTAATTAATTTACAACTGTAATATGTAATGAATATTGGAAATTTCAGAATTCGGTTGATGAGGTTTTCCTAGCGTTTTTCATAGCCCTTTTTAAAGTGTATGCTGCGGCCCATAGACACCAGCGTTACCACACCATAACCATAAAACACAGCAATATTATGCAGCTATTTCACGCTTTGTGCTGAAACCATAATACAGAAGCGTGGCTTTATCACGTAATTACTTTCATGATGAAATCGAAAGGCGATTGGGTAGTATTAGGGCGATTTCCCATTACAATAAGGATTTGCCATAATCGATACGCAGTATGATTGCGCAGGCGCAATCGCTCTGTTCGCATCTTGAACATACGGTATGGTTGTTCGGAATCGGAATCGACAGCTGACCAAGTGGTACCGGTTTCGATTTCCGGATAAGGCTATAAATCAATTGTTAGGTTTTCCCATGGAGAAATTTTTAGTAGCACCCGCAGTCAGGATGTTGGTGGTGTTTCATCCTCGTGCCTCGGAAAGTACATAATGTGATTGGGCCTGAGCCTTTGTTATGTTTAGTCACTTTAAGTTACAGTAGAAATTCAGTCTATGCGACCAGTTACCACACTTCCTTTACACAATCTTCATAATTTCCTTGCATTTATTGAGCTCTGTGATTTGTATGAATGTGAAGTGCTGAATAATTAATTTATAAAACCATTTTTACAGGTAAGATCGTGCGAATTAGTTGGTTTAAAAGACTTGAATCATAGTCACCCTTACGTAGTTAATAAGATAGCCGACTATTTGAACGAACTAATTTCCTTAGGTGTTGCAGGCTTCAGGTAAATAACATGATTAAGCGTTTTTAATATAAATTAACCTAAGTAATTATTTCCTCTGTGTTATAACAACGTTTCTGCTCAACATTAGTTATGGCCACAGAAATCTATATAATAAGGTACTAGAAATGCCTTCTACTGTCTTTTAATATCAGGACGCGTTTCGCAGGGTCGCAGCTGTCACACATAGACAAAACAATAAATACACAATTTCGCCTACACATATCTCTAGCATTCATGCAACAAAAACGGAACTATAAATTTTTGCGTTAAGGTATATTTTATAAAAACGCAAAATCTCAGGAGGCGTAGCCACTTGGTCCAATAATTAACGTGTGGGAAAAACAGAGAATGACATTGAGTGCTCACTCTCACTTGGGCATAGTGCAGCGCAACGTACGTTTCGATAACTTTATATTAAGTGTCGTTGATCATCCAGGAGTCTCACACAAAGATATAACTAATTAACTAAAAGTGTCTCAGTTTTCTAATTAAAGAAAAGGGGTATAATAAAACGTTAAGGATAAGTATATCCATATATCTTTTATATTCGGATCTTTTGGAGACTTTAAATTACAACTTTAAATTAACAGATGTATAAGTAAAATGAATACAACATCATACAAACAGCAAACAAATAAATAAATATATATAAATATAGGTAACATATTTATCATTTTTATTAGTTTTAAAGATCTGTAACTGACTTTCTGTTGTTTGGTATTTTTCAGTTACCCGGTTTCTTACGGATCGAATTTAGTCTACCACCCTTACAATACAATCACTTATTCTTACAATATATTAAAATTGCATAAAAGTTTATCAAGTAATTTAAATGTACTAACGAACAGATAATCGTTAATAAAAGGTTAACTGTATAAAATATTTAGAAAAATAAATAAATAGACAAGGTGTAAATAAATATTTAACGAAAAGTCACGTTTCATTCATCTCTGTAAAATTAGGTAAGCCAAAAATAATAAATTATCGATATAAAATAGTAGGTGTCACGCCGGCTCGTGCTCGGCTCCTGCGGCCGTGTTCTTGAAAATTTACGTACGCAACAATATTTTTTATTGCCCATACTTTAAATCCATTGCTGCTTTTAGCTGTCGTACTCGTAGACATGAACTAGCTTAAGAATCAATGGATATTGAATTGTGAAAACAATTACATTTTCGGTAACAATCATAGTAATAGAGGTGAATAATTTTATTTAAGTATATTTCATAAAAAACAACATTATTTATTTTTTTTTTAATTTATTTAATATAAGAAAAAATACATAAAATCGCAATTTAAACATCACAAAACCCTTACGGGTTTGTCTGGATGTTGAGACACTTTTGAGCAATCTGTTGACATTAGTTTATACGTATTCTTATTTAATAAGATCATCAAATATAGTATTAACAGTATGAAGTATAGGTACATTATTTACATACAAGTGGACATAAAGGAACCGGTTGTAGATAAGCAGCTCGGCACGGCTGGCGGACAGCCGGCTGATGCTACTTGAGTGTGTTATATACATGATGTTTCGATTATCGATATGATATTATGTTAGGTTTGATTTCATTATAATTAGACAACTTGTTATTAAAGTAAAGAATTAAAGTATTGTTTATATTTATTTTTATAGTTTTTGTCCGTTATTCCTAATCTGATTTTAGTAGGTATATCATTAACGAGGGTTGGTATTAAATACGCGTTCGTTCGTTTTCCGTAATAATTTCTAACTCTTGGTAATTCTAGTTTTAATTGAGTTACTTTCCGTGTCATTGTTTTATGATTCACTTTTATTTGTATTTCTTTGTTCGTAAATTGTTCAATTAATAGCCACATTTTTATTTTAATATGAACAGGCAATATCTCACAATATTTAAATAAAGCTAATACATCGTCTCCGAAGCAGATTGATTTTTTAATTTTATCAGGTATTATTATTTTTAAAAGCCGAAGTTGTAGGCTGTATATTTTGTCCAAATATGTTTTAAACGTCCTACCATAGCTAGTGATCCCATATGAAATGATTGACTCTGCGAGTGCATTATATAAATTTAGTAATATTTTAAATGGTACTTTGTATTTCAAAATAGCAAATTTGGCCAGCATTGCTCTCAGTTTTTCACATATTGAGTCAATGTGATAACACCAGTTAAATCTGTTATCGACTACTAGTCCTAAATATTTGTAACGGGGAACCTGCTCTAACAATTCACATTTGCACCCGGTCCTATTTGTTTCAGAAACATGCAAGCACTGATGACTATGCGCAATTACTTCGATTTTCTTATCAAAATTGCGTAGGTAGTTAGATCGAATACGAATAATTTTAGTTTTACTAGCATTCAGTACTAAACCAACATCATGAGACCATTTACATAAGTTATTGAAGTCATTTTGTAAAAGGTGTTCGGCCTTATCTAGATCTTTATCGACTGCTATAAGACATGTATCATCCGCGTATTGATAAATGGAACAATGTTTTATTACATTTTCCATATCATTCACGTATGCTAGATAATGCAAGGGTCCGAGCACGGAGCCTTGTGCTGTTCCAGTAGTTACAAATATTTCGTCACTGAAATCATTGCCGATCTTAACCCGGTATTTCCTATCGTTGAGATAATCTTGGCACCATTGTAATAATGGCCCGCGAATACCTGTATTGTCAAGTTTTTTTATAAGAATATCGTGCCTAAGAGTATCAAATGCCTTACTAAAGTCAATGAATAATAATATGACATGTTTTTTATCATTCAGGTGTTGGTTTATTTCGTCCGTGAATTTAGACAGCAATATAGTAGTTGATTTCTTAGATTGAAAGCCGTATTGAGCATTTGATAATATATCGTTTCTAGTATAAAAATTGTGAATTTGCTGAGCCACATATTTTTCGACTACTTTATCTATGACTGACAGTATTGTTATAGGCCTATAGCTATCATACTCACTATGTGATCCCTTTTTATAAATTGGTCTTACGGTGCCAGTTTTCAATTCTTGTGGATATTTTCCTACAGCTATGCTAGTGTTTATCAGCTTAACTACAATATTAGCAATCTTGTCACTCAGCATCTTAACATCAAAACATCGGATTCCATCATTACCAGCCGATTTATTTGCATTTAAACTTTTTATAATAGTTAGTATATCGCGCTTGGTAGGTTTTTTAAATAACATAGATTTGTTTTCAGGAAATATGTATTCCGATTCTGACATAAGTTTTTTGCTGCATCCAGGCAAAATTTTCTTGACGTTTTCACAGAATTCTTTAGCAAAATTGTTGGCTATATTTTTTAAGGTTAGATTGTTTTTCTTGAATGCTTTGGTTACAGCTTCATCTACTGACTTACAGACTCTACCAGTAAGCGTATTTAATATATCCCACATTTTCTTTTTATTCATTTTATTATTATTAATTAAATCATTAAAATATTTGTTTCTAGATTTTTCAATTAATTTTTTGAGTTTTGTTTCGCTGTTTATTAAATTCTAATCTAAGTATATAATTATTCGTATCCTTTTTCCACTGATTAAAAAGTAAATCTCTTTTTCGGCACATGTTGTTAATTTTATTATTTATCCATAATTCTTGGTTTCTCTTGCTATTTAAATTTATTTTTTTGTGTATATTTGGATAGTTCGTAACACATTTTGAATTTATTTTTAATATAATTATAAATCTCTATCGGACATAACATCGTATCGACAACATTCCAATCAATTTCATTTAATTTTTGTTTTAATATATTATAATCAATTAGTTGTTTAACTTTTGCACCATCCCGTATAGTGTTTGCAACTCCGCTTCCTATGCAGGACAACACAACCATACGATGGTCCGCCATTACAGTACCGAGTGCGGCCGAATAAAGGTCTAGCGAGCGCGTTCTTGCAAAAATATGATCAATACAACTCCGCGTAATAATATCTTTTCAGTTTTCGATTCTAGTGTAATCTGATATTGCACTCGCTAGTCCACATTCGGCCATGCAACTTATATAGTATTCTCGTATGTTATCATGCGACTTTAAGTCGATATTTATATCACCCAGTAAGTATAAATCCGAGCATTTAAAAACGTCCTTACACAACAGTTTTTTCAATTCTTTGATAAATAAGTGTTTGCTTTCTTTGGGTGGTCTATACAATGAACAAATAAGTGCCGTGTATTGATGTGACGTAGATAATTTACCTATTAAAGATTCACAATGGTTTAGTGATATATTATTTAGAATATGAAACTTGTGGGTACTTTTTATATACATAACAATGCCACCACCTCTTCGCTGTTCACGAAGCTTATAGTACATTTCATAGCCATGAATATTAAATAATTGAACAAGATTACTGCTTTTGGAAATTCCTACCTCTGTTAATATAATAACGTCGACATCAATTTTAGACGAATGAATTAATTGTAAAACCAGACAAAAATTTTTAACTATCGATCGCAAATTTATGTGGACAATATTTAGTTGTTGTATATTATGTGGTAGATATTTACTAAACTCGTTTATGTTAGTACAGTCAAACAATTCTTGTATTTCCTGTGAAGGAACTGTTGCGTTGTGTATAACTGCTATCGATATTTTTGAGTAGACAACTTATCAATATCACATGAGCTTCTTATGATAACGGGCTTGTCATTATCAAATTTACGAGCCAAAACTTTACCACCCTGGAACCAAATATATTTGTAAGTTTCCTTCAAGGTTTGTTTAGCTTGCCACAGAAGTGTTTTATTAGCTTTAGTTAGTGCACGCCGAAGTAACACTCTTCTCTTGGCTACTTCAGGATTAGGGGCATTTGGAGTTATATCTTCCAAAGCAATTGTTTCCGTTCGTGCAGCGCGGATCCACTGGTCGACCTGCTCCTCTTGTTGTAATACTACCTGGATCACACCTTCTTTGCCGTCCCTGCCTTTCAGTCTTTTCACCATGGACGCTTGACGTTTCTCTACGTTTAGTTTCGAGGCTAGTTTACTTGAAAGTTTTTCTA